ATGAAAATCTGCCTTGCCAAAATTTCTAGAATGTTTTTAACCATGACAGTAAAGGAAACGACTGCTTAGTACACTGTACCTCCCACACAGTGAAAACCTCTTGCTAACGCTGATCATTATGAAGAAACCTCACGCCACCCTGATTGGACACGGAGAACCCTGTCTGCATCACGTTGCCAGCGTCTTAGCACCACACCCATGAGCTTTATTTGGATATGATCTTTTCCACGAATCAACAACTACTGTGCTCACAATTATATAGCACACTCTGAAACCAGAAGTCCAGTTTTAAGATAGAAAATAAGTTACAGTAATTTTAAGCTTTCCTGGCCAAAATTCTGAAAAGAAAGATTTCATGTAACTAGCATGAGCATACATGGATGATGATCAATTAAGAAAAATCATACAAATCCCTGTAATCTCAAAAGACTTTTACACTAATCGCTGCTTCATTTCCTTTGTGACCATATTCGAACTGACAGTGGATCTCATGTTTTTCTGAATAATCTTCTAGGATATTTACACAAGCTTAATGCATGCAATGCTTCTGCATTATTAATAATTCTGTGGGAAACTAAGGGAAATTTCACCTCACTTGCTAGGGCTGCCTCTGAACTTTTGAGTCCTTTCTAACAATGCAAAGTAAGTCCCTGAGCCAAGAGATCATTTGTAGTGGGATCAATTAAGTGATTAAATTGAAAATAAAATTCAATAAAATGCCATTTTTAACCTAAATGTTAATTTAAAAGGGTCTCGAGAATAGATGTCAGGAACAGCTTCGGCGCAGCCGCGGTGACACAGCGCCATCTAGCAGTGACTCGCAGGTTTGACACTGAGCACTTGGTAAAGTCCTCACTCATCTAAGGACGTTCAAAGAAACCAGTGAAGTGACCCGTACAATTGCTACAAGCAAACCTCAAGCTGAAACTTTACACATCGAATCTATGCCAACTGCTACAACTCTCTTGCTACTGACCTAAACTCTGGCCTCATAAAGAGGGGGAGAAGGTGTTTAAAACATCTTTGATGGCTGATTTCTTCTGCAAAAAAGCTTTCTAAAATGAGGTGCAAAAGCAAAGCAAAAGGTAAGTGCGTTAGCTGAACTCTTATTATAATGTATTGCAGTAAATCAAACCAAGGAACTAATATGGCTTTAGACTAAAATGGGGGGGAAAAAAAAATCAAACACCAAAAGATGCCAGAGTATTTTTGAAATTACAGTGAGGAAAGAAAAAAGGCAAATAACACAAGTGTGATGAGAATCTTTGGCTTAGCAGTTCAGAGTTTGTATTACTAAAAACAGATAGAATCCTGCCATGATGAACAACAGCTGTGTCCCTAAATGAGCCATGAAAGCAAATCCTTGAAAAACCCTGTGAAACTCTATAAATGAGTGGCATTCAGTTCAGGTACATTACAAAATGGAAGCAGGGAAGCAAGGTGTTCTGACCAGGACAGTATAAAGGCCAGCACCAAGACTAAGTTCCTCATCTTCAACAGTTTTATTCTAGAAAATCTCTCCTGTAAGTATTTGTTTACCTAAGTGTATTTCAGTATTTCCTTTTCTTAAATTAAAACAGTTATGAGAGAGTCATTCTCTAACAGACTCTGATCCAGATTTCAGTTGTCCTGGGACCTAAACCTGAAGGTTTCATAAACCATATTTTGAATAAGGCAACAAAAAAATCTACCTCCTACACATTTATCAAAATTGTACACACTAGATAAACAGACTAATGCACTTGAAGATTGATGCAAATAAACTGGATAATGTCCAAAAGGAGTGCAACAAGAAAGGTCAGAGCTCTAGAGAACATGACCTATTAAGAGAAGCTTTTAAGAATTAGGTCTATTTAGCCTAAACACAAGATGCCTATAGGGAGAAAGGATGTGAAATATGTGAAAGGTTGCTATGCAGAAGAAAAGAATCAGATGTTCTCCATACCCACTAAAAAAACACAGTCAGCTATAGGCTTGAACTGTGCTAAAGGATACAGTTCACACATTCAGAAACACTTTTCGACCAGAAAGGCAGTTAATCAACCAAAAGTGGTGACCTCCACCACTGAAGGTTTACAACAAACAGCTAAAACAAGTGCCACTGAACTGCCCAGCCCTGGGAAGGAGCTCACCAGGCACGTGCCTTTTGGCCCATGATCTATGACACATTGCAGCAGACTAAGAGGACACTCTGCCAGCCATGAACACAAACTTACAACCTACTCCCTGCAGGCGGTTGGGGAAAACAGTTTTACTTAAAATTCTTCTCCCACTCCTCCACTGCATCAGTTTACACCCAGAACTAAACTCCTGTCACTGCACCTGGCTGGCAGGACTGCCTGCAGCAGGTGAGCAGCATCACACTGAGGTGCTGATAGGCTGTGAGAACTTCTCCCTGACTCTCTGAAGTTCACAGCCCCCTCCATTTGAACGTGTTTCTGCCTCAGTAAAGTGAGGAACCACTGACAGCACTGAAAAGCTACACCTGTACAAGAACCAGCAGTGACCTACAGATGACACTGTTCTTCCTGATCTGCTGTGTTTGTATTTGGAAAATTTGGATAGACTCAAAGACAATTCTGAGCACATAAGTTTTCCAACAAGCCATTTTGTTTGTGAAAAGGCACAAGTGTCACAGCAAAACAGTTTGTGAAGGAACTTTTCCTTCCTCTGGTAAGTTTCCTGGACTTTGGGGGTTTATTAAAAACAAAACAACAACAACAAAAGAAAACATTTACCAACAAGATTTTTCTCCTTTAACAAAACATTCTAATAGTGCTTTTCCTATTCTGCTGTAATGTTACAAAGACCAATATATAGAGGTGACTCACAGTTAAACTTCTTAATTTTTTATTTTTTAGTTAATAGACTTCTAAAGCACATTCAGTTGATCATCACTACCATCTGTAAGACTCAAACTTCTACTTAAATAAATAAAGGATGCTCAAATTTACCATCATCTGATGGTCTACATCTTTACATCCAAAAAGGAAAATTAATGTTTCCAATGGTAAGTGAATTTTTCAAAGCATGACAAAGACAAGCAGAAAAGTGGCGACCCAAGAACAAACAACAGAATTTCAAAAGTCAACTATCACTTAGGGAATCAATTACAAACAAGCACACTTTTACCCTTAAAGCCCAGCCAACAAAAGCTGAGGGTCCAAAATGCCTAATAAAATCAGCAGCCAAGTGCTCTGTCTTTTATTAAATTGCAAGCCAAAAAAATCACTTCCCTATACACCAGTGTCTTGTACCAATCAACAGCAATTCAGTTTTGGCACGATTAACTCAAAGCCTATTTATAGTTATCCAAGACAAAGTTTCTGCTTAGCTTCTTTCTGTAAGCAAATTCTAAAGCCAGGGATTTGAGACACAAGACAAATGCTAATGTCTTCTGCTTAAATAGCCTGTTTCTCAGCCCCAACACTTAATCTGCTAATTCTAACTGGTAACACACAAAAGCTACAGGATTCATGGAAGTGAATACAGGATTCATGGATGTGCATTTCTGCAGGCACATCATATTCCACCTAAACATGAGTATTGTAAAGACTGCACCAGCTAAGTCAGCTTAAGGTCCCCATGGCTGCTAGGCCACAACAGCTATCCCATTTTCCACAAGTGGCTGGAAAGAGCACAGAAATCTCAGAAACTGGCTAGGATGAGGCTGAGGGTTTCCTATGAACTGCAGAAATAGGTTATGACAATATAAAACATTCTAACACACAGTTTTCTGATGCAATGAAGCCTTTTCTCTGCAACACTAACATGCAGAGCAGCTTATCACTTCTCTTAGGGTGAAAGGGATCTCTGTCCTACAGTATTGCTGAGACCAAACAATTATTCAGTTTCTGGGAAACATTACAAGACTCTGCACAACTTGCTTAATTCCAAAATAAGCTTTGGAACATAGCAATGCCAGAGAAGAGAAGCAGGACTGAACATCCAAAGGTTATTCCATAATCACCACCAGGAGTACACAAGTAGCATAGGAGTCTGCTCCAGCTTTGCTTCAGACTGTGGCACAATGCCATTCCACTAACACAGAGCTACCTCCCTGCAAATTCAGGTGCTTCCCAGGGCACAGCTCTACTGCTCCTAACAGGTACTCAGGACAGACTGCCCTTTGACATGTGCTTATCTCCACTATTTCAAGCATCATTGAATATAAAAAGATTTTACAAAACTAAATTTAAAAAAATATTTAGCTGAAAAGAATGAAAAATTTACGCAACTCAGAAGTTCCCGAAGGTAAGCGCAAGAAAACTGCATACACTCAACTGGGGCAAATCAAAAATATGTCCACAAACCCTAAGTTAACCACACAAAATTCACAAGCTAAGTATTTAGCTACGCCTCACCCACATTCAACTTAGCATGTTAATCACAGCAAGAGGCGCTTTCCCCTCAAAAATACATATCAGATCCTGCATATAGTTTAGAATTTGCTTGAACAAATGAAAACCTAGTTTTGGATAGCACTGCACTAATAACAATAGTTACCATCTACCTGAAATACTAGTCTTAATAAGCTACAACAATTACCAACATCCAACCAAAACACCACCTACCTTTACAGTCACGGTTTTATTTATGCTGTAGTTATGCATTTCAACAAGTATTGTTTGTTCAGCAGCCCATACAGTTTTTAGTGTCTTGGTGTAATACACACTCTAAGACATTCTATATAAGATTATTAAACAATTTTTAAATCATTCCTTAAGGAAAAAAAAGGTTGATCATCATAAGCAAAAACTACAAATAGTTTTTCAAAGAGAAGTCCTTATGTAAATGTAAACCAGCCTCCCCAGACCAACAAATATAAAGGATGTTCCAGATGGAACAGTTCCTCAAAAAGGTGACTTCAGGCAATTACACTTTATGAATCTCAAATCCTTAACACAGACTTTCTGGAATGCAATCTGAGTCAACACAAAACATAACTGAAGCTAAAAAGTGGTAATTCTGAGACAAAACACAAGTACAAAACATAGACTTCAACATTCGATAGCAAAGCCATCGACTAAATCAACGCAAGATCGGAACGACAGCAGATAAATTAAAGCAGGTTCAGTTAAATGCACATGACTGCACTTCAAACGTGAGCGATACTCCCGAGGATCCCTAGCTCCCCGGGCTCGCAGAGCTCGGCGGCGCTGCCGGCACGGGCAGAGGCACAGCCTGGCACTGCTTAGCCACTGCTGCCCCCGCTCGGCCGCTCCGGCCCCGACCGGGCGAACCCCCGACAGCCGCAAACGCTGCGAGTCTGAACTGTTCACACCTTACCACACCGCCAGTGTGCCTGCGTCTGTCTGCAGCAAGAAATCAGGAGAGTAATGACCGAGTTTGCTCATGCCAACGAGGCCTGGGAAGACACAATGCTGCATTGTAATAAAACCACTGAAGAAATTTTTTAAGAAGAGAGCAGAAAGGCCTAAATTAAAAGCACAGATGGCCTAAGATGGTAGGAGATACACTCCAAAGATGGAATGGGACTCTGGGAGAGATCAAAAATAGCTATATGCTTCATTACTTGTTTGCTCAGCAGCAGGACCAGTTTTAACACCTGGGAGCCACGGAAGCACTTATAAAGCTTACACGAACACAACCCAAGCTGACCATGAAGAAGGAACTAAAGAGTACACTCAGCTCTGGCAGACCGGGGGAAAAAATACAGAGAAACAGACTTTATTTGCTCCAACTCAATAAGGAAAAGCACCAAAACCAATTTGTGTCTCTTATCTGTTTAGTGAATTTCTACTGTCTCCAGCCAGTCTCCATAACCACATGGCAGTCTTGTCTCTTAGCATGCCCTCAGGCCTAGCAGAGAGAGAACAAAACAGGTTAATGTTCTGTATGGGGAGACACAGCAGAGTTCAAGCTCAGTTGTGTTACATTCAAAATTCTTACAAGCAGCAAGCCAGGAACTCACTCAGGCTTGTCTTGTCTCCAAGGACTAACACAGAGCAACAGCAGCTCGCACACACACCCACACTGCAACTGACTAAAAAAAGCATACCCAAAATGTATTAAAAGCATCTTAACACAAAGTTGTGATAACAGCAAGTTCAGAGAACTCCATCCTCATAAGCACTTTCTCAAAATGAAGGAACTGGCAGCTAAGCTTGGTCTTTACTAGCAAATGAAACTGTAGCCAAATTAAAGCAGGCGTCTGCAGTAAATATTAACCCTCTGCCACTACTCCCCCATCACCTAGGGCAACAAGAAAGTCTTTTTCGGGTGCTCCTACAAATGTTCCTAATCAAAATATCAGGATCAAAACACATCCTCCTACCTCTGAGAGCACATGGTCAAAGAAACCTCTTCAGGTTATAAAAAAAAAAAAATGGTCTGTTCTCCCACTAGCTTGTACACATTTTCTATAAATTTTCCTTAAGCACAAAGAACCATGAGACACATGAAGCCAATGTCTCCATAGTGCACCCTACAAAGCTTCACATCATCTGTATTTCTATGTTGAACTCAATTCATCACTGCTATTTATGCTTCATTTACTGATTGCTTAACCATCTACTATAGGGGCACATTCCAGATAGGAGGATCCATGTTACCAGAAGCTGAAATTTACCTTTCATGGTTCAATCCTTTCCAAATTCACTCTTCTGGACTACATGAAGTTCAGCATGGCCAGAACTAATGCCTGTTGCACAACCACTAGAGCAGGCAGACAATGCTCTGCCACTAGAATTAACCCTAAACATGTTATGTACTGTTTAAATTTACCTATGTGGGCCCTCTGCAAGTGTCTCTGAAGATATTGTGCACATAGGACTGATTTAGGCTTCCTGGCCTGCTCCCAACTTTCAGCTGCCAGCTCTGTGATTGTGAAATAAAAACACTAACAAAATAAAATCCATTCACAGACAGACTGTAAAACAGGTGTTTTTAAGTGGGACAAAGGAAACAATACACACTTGTCATATCAAGCTCTAATGGCAGTGATACAGGATGCCATTATGAGGAGAAAACACATACTAGTTCTTACCTAACTGCCCCATAATCATGGGGAACATTTCCTAGTTTGAGAACTAGGAGTTCTATCCCGTATGAGGCAACATCCTCAAAGCTGGATACCCCACTTAAGAGAACATTGCCTAACAGGAACGTGAAGTTGATGCTGAGGAAGTTGAGGTAGGAAAAACTCACCGCGAAGAGGTCGTATATCTTGTGCTGTGCTACAAGTCAGAAGTGATAAGTAACAGAAGCTTAGCCACACACGAGTTAGGAAGTTTTACAGGGAACACAGGAGCGGTAATACACAGCTGCCAAAACCACAATTACATGTTTACTGAGACCCAGGAACATGCAATGCTGCAGATGAGTCACAGCATGATGGTGTATGAACTCTACACTGCAAGAAAACACCCCAACAATATCCAGACTCATTGCCCCACTCACTGGCTCATAGGACACTTCTGGCTGAACTGAGAATACCTGTATTCCTTCCAAAGACCTGTGAAATCTTGATCATCTACAGTTGTGCAACTCCATCAGTTACATCCCATGAATATCACCTGTTTCCTTCCCCTGTGTCCCATTTCACCCTCTCCCCTCATCCTCTTAAGCATCTTACTGCAAAAGCTTCAGATTTTAAAAGTAAAAAATCCTCGACACCCACATCCTGAGCATTCACATACTAACTGTGCACAGCAGAGCAGGGTTCTCAAGCCTAACCACCAAGAATCAACACACAAAGCAAACTTGTGGCAAGCAGCAACTCAGACCTTCTGAGAGCAGGAATCCATATTGCTGGAACTGTTAATGCAGTTATCTTAAGACAACAGGTACAGAAATAAGTTACTTTACTGCCTCTCAGTATCAACATACAAAAGCTTTTACATCCACATTATCAGTCAGCTTGAATCTGAAAGAGAAATCTGTTGCAGTAGGCAGGCAGGTGAGGTTATCAAGCAATGCAAAAACCATATAGGATTGTGACTCTACAAGTTATAGACAATGGGGGAATTCTTCAACGAGGGAACAGAACACCAGGGTTTACACCTCTTGCTTCAGAGAACAACAGTTTCATGACTGCAGTGGTGCCAGAGAAAACAGAAAAACCTCCCATCACCAGAAAAGCAGAGTAGGGTATTTTGATATTTAGACGCATAACACACAGGCCCTGCCCACCAGAAAAGTTGTAAAGATTCTTTTTTTCTAAATTGGCACTGCACTCACAACCATTTGAAAAGCAAAAAGCCAAACACAAGGACAAAACTTGAATTCTCTGACTGACAAGGCACTTAATGAGCGGCAAATAAAGATTCATCTTTTAGCTTAAAAAAGCATAGTATAAATACCTCACAATGAAGATGGCTCACCCCAAAAATTACAGTCATCACTACTGTTTTACATAATACTTATGAAGGAACAGACAAGCATTTATCGGCAGGGTGGAGAGTGAAAAATGGAAAGACCAACTGCTGATTCTGAGCAACTAAAAGCACACACTGGAAACCAGTAGAAACCTTAGTCAAAATACTTCATCAACCACTATGCAGGCTGCAGAGAGCTTATTTTAATAATAGAGTAACTTACTTAAGAGATCTCTACTTTAAGACAATAAATCGAAATCTAAAATTATTAACATTTTATTGTGCAGTAGAAAAGTACTTTTAAAACAACACTCAAAACAAAGCACCAGACTCTGAAGTGATTCACAGCCCATGAGTCAATACCTGTACAGTCTTAGTAACCTTCTTTATTTTCCACTTGGATGAATAAAATTTATGCTGCTACATGCTTCGCTGTACCTGTATGGGCATGGCCAAAGTCTAAGCAAGCACGGTTTGGTTTATGCAACACAATGACATTAGACAATGCCTTTAAAGCCAAAGTCCCTATTAGATTGTAGCACCTCATCTGCTTTTCAACAGCAGACTGCTACCTTTTACATCTGTCTTCTTTTCAACATGAGGTCTTAAGCAGATCAAGAGCATTTGTTCCTCCTTGTCTTCTTCCTTCTTTCTTCTACTCAAATGTGCTGTTTGAGCAGATGGACAGTCTTAAAGATACCTCAGCTATACCCACTGGTAAACAAAACTGACAAGTGTTTAAAAATTAACAAGAGGCAAAAAATCCCAGATAATTTCTTTCAGAGTATTTCAAAATATTATTTGATATTTGCTTTAGAGAAATACATCCGTTCTCTGCACAGGGAATTATAGAGCTGTAAGACATATAACTTGGACTATAAACACTAAGCTTCAATAGGAATTGGTAAATCTCACTGGTACAAGTCCTGTCAACAAATACCATAATCACGATAATGGAGTGAGCCCTATACACCATCTTTCCATCCAACAAACTTGCAGAAAATTTTCTTGAGACAGTCAGCAAAAAGGATGCCTCAACAAAGACTAGTGCAAAAACTTGTCCAAAAACTGCACAAGTAAAGCTAAGGGTCTATAATATAACAAGTTTCTAAGTGCTAAATCAAAGCCACTGAATCAGCAACAGAACAAATCCACCCCTTCTTGCTTCTGGAATCCCATGCTACAGGAGGAATAGGTTCTGTGCTAGCATTTATCTCTTTAAAAAAAAACCCACAGAAGTGTAATGCAGATAAGCTGTTACTTGTTTAGCTTCACTGAATGTTTAACGATAGTTTTTGCTTCATCTTCATAAAACAAGAAGCTAGTGTTCACTCTTCTGACATGTCTAAGGGATTCGCAGTGCCCCTTCCCACCCCCAGCCAGTTTTACAAGGGCTGAGGAGGGAATGTTTTGGACCTGAATGGCCACAAGCCATAAGCAATCACTACAAAATAACAAGCACACCTAACAGCTTGCTCCATCAAAATGCATTCAAGGCTGGGCCAAAAACCATTAATTCCACACACCAGAAGGCTATAGGTACCAACATATGCTAATACAACCCCACACTTCAGAAGTCAATGCCTTCTATGTCTGACTACGCATGTTCACTTCCATTTTTCAGAGAGAAAGCACTGCTAAGTTGCACACATATTGAACTCCCTTTCCAAACAATAATCTGGCTCACAGTGTTTGAAAGCTCCCAGTTCACCCACTTCCTCTTTTCCACAGTAGGCATTACTTGTCTGTACCATGAGAGTTTCTTCCTCCAGGGCATATCTCAGAGGGAGCACTCCAGTAGGTCTGTAGGCATAGCTAAACTATACAGCAAGTCATGCTGCCAAGAAACCAAAACCAGTTCTAGAACCAGTAAAGCCACCATCAGCTGTACTGTGTTCAGAGAATGAACAAGTACTCGTGGTACAGCCCTACACTGATAGCAGCTGGTCCACACATTTCTGCATGGCTCAGACTAACAAAGGAGCTTTGTGTTCCCACAGGATGGTATGTGAGATTTGTTCAGATTGCTGCCTACCTTCACACTATAAAACCAGGTACAAAAATCGGTCAGCGCTTCTGTTGATTTCCCTTTTCCTATTTGTAAGCTGATGCAGTCCCTGACTTTTAATCACCATTGCTGTTATTGCAATATGTCTGTACTGCCAATTCACACTGTGCTCTCTCCCCAGGCAGACGTAGTCTTTGCTGTGAAAAACTGCAGCACAGCCCTCAGTTTTTGCCTCTGGATATAGCCAGGCCTGAAAACAACAAGGGGTGCTTGTACAGAAAGAACGTTTTTGAAACACATGAAAAGCAAGGAGGACGTTATATCAATGTGCAGTTTCAGTTAAGTCAACTTAAAAGGCAGGTTGCATCATCAGAACTTCGAGTTAGCAATAAGAGTCTGTCTGATGCTGCTTTTCTTCTGGGTTTTTTTCAATTTTGCTATTAGACACAATACATTCGAAACCGTGATGGACCGTTTCCTTTATACTGGAGCAATAACTGCAAGCAAAGCTCACACCTTGTTTCCTAAAACAAGAACTTCATTCCAGCATCTTTTCAGTATTGACTCAAAAGCTTAGGAGCATGTAGGAAACAGGGCAATCCAAGCACTCTAAGTAATAGCTGTCCAAAAAACTGTGACAACAGACAATCTTTCACCTTAGAGAATATTCCTATCCTTTCCTTACCACAGTTTTACATTAAACTAAGAAATTCTAGCAACAGAGAGGGGCATTGATTTAGAAAATAGCTCTTGAAAAACATTTTATCATTTTTCACATACTGTAAACAATATTAAGCTTATATCTGAGAATTGTTTGAAATTTGGAGTATGTCAAGCAATAGTTACTATTACTGAGTAACTGCTTCACTGTATAGGACAAAGAGATTAAATCCCCACTTGACATTCTATCTAAACTTCCCATAAGACTTATTCTAACAAAAAATGACATGTTTTCTTAAGAAGCAATTGACAAGAGATACTCAAGAAATATTGGTAAACTTTCTATATTGGCATTTCCTCTAAGAAAAGATGGATAGTATGAGCAGTAAGTTATGCACTGGATGCTAAAAGTCTGAACTGACACTTTGTCAAGGGCAAGACTTTGTTGTCTGACTGTATACCCTTGGCAAGCAACTGACTCCATTTTCCGTGTACCCTCCTACTGGATATTGCTGTCCACAACTATCCTCTTACATGAGCCTTCTCTTCTTAAGGCTGAAGAAACTTGGTCTTCCCAGACTCTCCTTGTACATTGTGTGCTCCCAAACAGTCTTGGTGGCCCTCCACTGGATTCACTGCATTGCATCAACCTCTGTCTTTTCCTGTAGCGTCCAAAAAAGGGCCAAAGCTGGATCACTGGACACAGCACTCTGTCTAACAAGCACCACAGAGATGAAGGATGACCTTTCTGGACCTGCTGGCTACACTCTTGCTAACAGCCCAGGATGCAGTTTGTTTGTTTTGCTACAAGTGTACATTGCTGACTCATGTTCGTTTCTTGTCTATCTCAATCCCAAAATCTTTTTCTGCAAAGTTGCTTCCTAGTTGGTCTGCCCATGCTCACCCTCAACACTAGCTGGAGTTATACCAACCCTAGGATTTTGCATTTGCCTTGGCTAAATGTCATATGGTTTCTGTTAGCCCTTTCTCTAGTCTGTTTAGGTCCCTCTGAACCACAGCATTGGCTTTTACCTCGGATTCTGACAACAGCTGCCATATTTGCACTCAGTTCCAGCTGCATTAACAGCCAATGAAGGAGAACACTCCATAAATGGATTGGTAAAAATTTACTTTAGCCAGAATTTGCAGCCAATATTTTTGGTCTGTTGTACAAAAATTAAATTTCCAGGGCTCCTAAAACAGTATCAGCTTAACAGGAAGTCACCTAATTTTAAAACAGAAGAAACCACACTGCATAATTTCTGCCTACCACTGAGCACTGCAAATTGTTTCTTTGGTTGATTTGATACAGGTATATACATACACAGAAATAACTAAATCAAGACATCAATTTAATAATGACCTGAAACTAGAAGTCAATTTCACATACAACTACCAAAATTACTCCATAGGTATTCCTGTTCCAGCTACTGTAACTTTGATTCTGTTTTCAGTTCTCAGTTTCAGATTCCAGATGTAGACTTATTTCTGTTCTAAAGTTATGAACACTTCATTTTCTAAAAAGATATGGTCTCAGAAATTTCAGGTGGTTCCTTCTTTCGCTGTACTCCATCTTTCCTACATTTCTCCCAAAAACATTCCAAAAGCACAGGGCACCTTGACAAGTCAGAAGCAACTTCTGGAACAACATGCATTCAACAGATTGACATAAAGAGTTATATGTAAGAAAGCTATAATAAGGCAAAATGACAACTCATTTGTAACCTACTCAAACAGCCATCACAAATAAGGCTTTTTTGGACCAGCGCTCTATTTGTCTGTGGAAAGAGTACACCTACTCCAGAGCTGCACTACTAATTTAAGAATCACCTGGGTTCTCTGAAAGAGTTCAGCACTTGAATAATTCAGTATCTAGTTTCTACTTAAACAAATGCAGAGAGATCAACTGCAAAACAGGAAAATGAGAGGTAACTGTTTCATGGTATCATGAGATGCTCAAGAAACAAAACTACCACTTGGTGAAATCGGGAATAAAATACTTGTAGAAAAATGTGAGAATAGACAATTTTGCAGTCTTTCACTATAAGCTGAATGCAAGTTTAAATGCAAGACAGACCTGAACTTGAATTGATGAATAAAATTTAAATTTCTAATTTGACTAGTCATAGTCAAAGTACTCAGATAATACTTGTCCATTGAAACATGACCTCAGTATATTTTTTCAACATTTTTTGTCAACACATTTTGCACTAAGGAGATGAAATGTGGTCAACATAACCACAAGTTTGGGGGTTCTTTAGGACTGGGGAGGTGGAACAAGATGATGGGGAGCACTTTAAAGTACTTGGAAGGAAAGAAGAAATAGCATTTTCAGATCTTTGGGACCTACAAGGTACAATCCTGTATCATCCCAACTCCATCATACTGATCATCTCTCCTGAAACAAAAGATCATTCACAGGGTGTAGTTCACCTTCATTCCAGCAAGAAACACACACACCACCAAGGGACAACAGACTGCCTTTCTCTCCCTCCCTTGGGTTCCACCAACTACAATCAAATAATCAAGAACTAATATATTTCCCTTCCACTTCTTTGAAAACTTTTCAATTCAGTTTAGCAAGGTTAATCCCCAAAAAAAGCACTGCATGACATCTATTAGATGTCTGCCCTGTCAAGAAAATGTAACCATTCTGAAACTACTCATTGTGTAAATCATTCTGCTTAATGCCAGGAAAATACTTTACCTCCTCACCTTTAAATCAGAAAGGGATCAGAAGGGGATTTTTAAAAGTGCAATTAAGGCTAAAAACATTTGATGACAGCTTGACAGCTCTGAACATTGACCCCAGAACAACTCATATGGTTACCTGTAATTGTGTATCCATATGCAGCCAGCTGTCCAGCCATGTATTCACCATCTGAATTATTGTGAGAACATCCCCATGTACGAATCCAGATTTTCTGAACACCAGGAATAATGCTGTTAAGCAAAAAGGAATGAAAAAGGCAAGTTAAAAGATGAACAAGCTTCCCCTTTAAGCCCACTGAACAGACTCAATGAACTGTAATTCTTCAAACATAAGATACGCAACACAAATAGAAATAACAACAGAACAGCTGAGGAAAAACATCATTATTAAGTGATTTTAGTGTAACAGGTATTAGTTCTTGCTGGGATAGAAGCAGCTCTCTCCGCAGCAAACCATCTAGAGCTGTGTTTTGTATCTGTGACTAAAACAGTCTTGATAACATGCCTATATTTCAGCTATCATTGAACAGTGCTTGTTTATTTCCCACTGTGCTCCATCCTGCCACAATCAGGCTGGAGATGGACAACAGATTGGGAGCAATATGAACAGAAGAGCTGACCAAAAGGATAACTCATTCCAGGTGACATCATGCTCAGCAATAAAAACTGTATGCTTGGTTTTTCCAAAATAGCACTTCTTCCAAGACTGCTTGGGCACCAGTCTGCTTGTGGGAGGTGGCGAGTGATTGCTTTTGCATCGCTTGGGGTTTTTCCCTACCCTTTCCTTCACTTAAACAGTCCTCATCTCAGCCCACAAGTTTTCTCACTTTTGCTCTTCGAGTTCTCTCCCTTGTGGCGGAGTCAATCCACCACAAGTAGCAAGAAAAGAGGTAGAAAACAGCTTTAGAATGGAGAAGGTACAAGAGCTGTAGGATAAGAAAGGATTCAGTACACTGTAGTTATGTTAAAACAACAACAAATAAACCCCCACAAAACTCACCCCACACCCCCCCAAACTTTCTGAAAATTATCGTATCATGTACCAAGTGACTGCATTGAAATTAGACCACCTGCAAACAAACTGTTAGAGCTAAACTGCAACCTTTGGATATCATGGAACCCACTGACTATAGGTCCCTCCATACAAGCCATCTTTACTAAAGTTTACAAACTTAATGGCCACCAGCCACACGAACATCTGAAAGCTCATATCCCAACCTTTCTGGGTTAAGGAAGAAGCATGGCAGACATGCAGTGTGGAGCTAATAGCACATACAATGCTTCAAGAACCAAAAAAAATTCTGCAAGAAGCTCTCACCGAAATTCCTGGGATAACTGCCAATGAGCTAAAGATGCCAGTACAAGAACACCACACATCCTGGAACACAATACTTTGCCCTGCCTACATCTTTTTATTTTCCTCCTTCTCTATACTTCCTTTTTTTAAAGACACTTCCACTAGATAGAAATAGAAATTTGTTGATGGAGCATTAATGATCAGGAAGTGCAAACACTGTGTTTAGACTTCCTACTGTCCAATCAACACATGTTCAGTGTGCTTTTTTGGGTCAAAACCACTAAAATACAGCCTATTAGATAATATATAGTACCTGAATACTTCAGCACACAAAGTGCTAGTGTGAAGTATCTAGAGAGCACCAGTTCAGCTGTGCACACACTCCTGGCAGACTGAGGCCAATGCACTTTTAGGGGCATTCCAATAAAGATCCTTATAAAATCTCTTCTGGACACTAACAAATATCCAAAATTTAATTTCCCCAGAGGAAATTAAATTCCCATGTATACTCTATTTTCATCTTTATCATACAGGGAAATTTTATGCACCAACTTGAAACTAATAGAAAAAAGAGAGGAAAAAAAAAACCACTTCAGATCTTACAACTGCAACAGAAACTAGAATCAATAACTGAGTCGACCTATACTCCAATCAATTCCACTGCAGCCGAAAACTGATTCTGTTCTTATAGGAACAAGTAGGAAATATGCAAGGCTACATTCTATAATTATTGTGTGCTACTACCACTAAAACAAAGCAACAAGTTCAAAGTAAGTTTCACCGTGTCTCTTGCAGGACGCACACACTAAAAGTAAAGCCTTTGAAAATCCCAGACTCCAGAAACCAGGTGGAAAGACTGAAGCGAGGAAGATGTACCCTTTGTGAAAGAGGACCAGGTCAGGGAACACTTCAGCAAACTGGACATACTCAAGTCCCTGGGCCCCAGTTGGATGCACCCACAAGACAGATATGGATGTACTGGAGATAGTATAACAAAGAGCCATAAAGATCATTAAGGGACTGGAACATGTCTCAAAAGAGGAAAGGCTGAGAGTGATTGAACTGCTCAGCCTGGAGAAGAGAAGGCTTAGGGGGATCTTATCAATGTATAAAGCACTTGAAGAGAGAGTGCAAAGAAGACAGACTCTTTTCAGGGGTTCCCAGTGACAGGACCAGAGGCAACAGGCATGAACTGAAACATGTTCCCTCTGAACATCTGGAAACACCTTTTTCACTCTAAGAATGACCAAGAACCGGCACAGGTTACCCAGAGAGGTTGTAGAATCTCCATCCCTGGGCATATTCAAAATACCTAGGCACAGTCCTGGCCAACTGGCTCTTGGTGGCCCTGCTTGAGCAGGGGATTGGGCGAGACGACCTTCCAAGTCAACCCGTATGAGACTCTCAAAATTTTGCTTTCATTTCTCATTCCAGATGTAAAAAGGCTACTCCAAGACTGCATTTTGAAGGGTTCAGCTTCTATTTAGGCAATTAAGATGAAGCAGACGATTTTTCAGAAATGTTTTACATATAAAAGCTTAAGTAACAGAAACCATTTTTCCAGTCTGATTATTCCATTCATCAACATCTGTTATAACTGATTTCTACATAAAATTTGTCTAGGAAAAGAAATTTGCTTAGGATTTATAATTTATTCTCCCTACATTTTATGAAGACTATTTTACTCCTTTTTATCTTGCAGTCAGATTTTACATTATGAGATAATGAGAACTTCCACCTTATTTTTAGAAGCTGACAGTGCACACAACATTACAGAATCACAGAATCAGTGAGGTTGGAAGGGACCACAGTGGGTAATCTGGTCCAATCTCCCTGCTCAAGCAGAGTGAAAATTCAAGAAAAGCAACATGATGGGGTCGATGGAAGACTTTACCTGTCACTTGGGGGATCATCATCTGTCTGAACATCTTTCTGTGACTTGCGTTTTCGCACTTTTGGGAGAACATTCTTTCTTACAAACTGCCGATCGTGTGGTTTCACATCTTCTGCTGACACAATATCTTCAATATCTTCAAGCACTGAATCACAGGCAGCAGGCATCTTCAAGAAGCTATGGAGAAGACTGGTATTAGCAAGCATCTGAATACAAACCCAAGGCCCAGTATCGTGTGTGTGTGTGTTCTCATAAAGAACAGTCAGACATATTTCTATGTATACATGTGATATGTCACACATATAAAGGATATCAAGCACATAAAAACAATCAACTATCCAGAGATATTTCCTGATGCCCTCTTTCCTGATATCTGAAACACAGGTAAAGATAAAGCCACAAACCATAGAGATTTTTAGGGTTGTCTTAATAATCTGTACTTCATCACTTTCTAATTCAAAACTCCTCAGCTCCTCTGACACGGCATATCTAAGACACAGGTATTTTTCATCACATCAACATCACAATAAAAGAAAGAGCTCATGTTATGTGATGGATATGCTTCCACTTGCATCACAGAAGAACAAAAGATACAGAATCCAAGTGCCTGTCTCAGAGGCTGTTCTGGCTCTTCTATTTGTGTGCTGGAAACAGGTGCACCGTATTTCAATGTATCTTCATAGTACCTTTGAAAACAAACCAAACTATTCCTAGAATTTCTGATCCCACAGGCCTTTCATTTGAAATACTTCATTCATCAGGACAGCAAAATAAAATCCCTATTTCAGGTACAAAATGTTCAACAACTATACCTAACTAATATAAAATGAAAATGTTTTAATCTGGCTAGTATTACTGTACTAAAAGAGCATTAAAATCTAATCATATTTTCCACAAGAAAGTAAATATATATGCATATGTATCTCCCAACATATGTCAAGAACCAGATTATTTTTCAGGAATTGAAAAAGAAGTTGTTTGCTAAAAAAGTTACTGCATTAATTACATGCCTCACACTGTGCTGTGTGTAATTCTTAACTAGAATAAAGTCTGATTTATGATTGGAAGCTTGGGTTTTTTACATATCCAACAGTTTACTAGGGAAATCACACAAGGGCATTTCACAGAGTTTATAGCAGAAATACAGCACTTTCCCAACTGACAGTGAAGAACAAAACAAAGAAGGTTTAAACTTCTTTAAAACCAGATTTCAGGAACAGAAGATTCCCTACTGGCATAAAAATACTTCCAGATGTTGCAAACAAATTACTGAAGAACATAAGAAGTTAAACACCTATGCATTTTCCCAGCATGTGTCCTTCAGTCAGTCTTGGAAAATATGCTTCAAAACAATACTTCCTGTAACCTGAATCATCACACATCTGTATTTAACTTCAAAAGGACTAGAATGATGCCACAAAGAGGATGATGCATCTGACATAGCAATTTAAGCATTTAGCATTCTTCTAGGCAAAAAAATCCCCGGAGCTATAAAATAATGTAGCCATGGATGAACAAAAATAAACAGCTGTGAAAAGTTCAGCAATAAAGAACATGAGGGGGAGGTGACATCTCTTACACTACTTTTATACCACTGACAGTATGTGCAAATAGGCAAAGCCGATAACTTCACCTGTTTGATAAATTAACAGTAAAGCTGGTAACGTTACCTATTTGGCCATACTGTCAGTATGGCATAAACAAACAGATCTGATCTGTTGTTTTTTCTCTCTTACAGAAAAATATCTAATATAATGGAGCAGTTGCAAAACAAGTAAGCTTCGTTTATTTCAGTGGCCCATGAAAGAAAGAATACAGCCAAATTAAAATTCCTACCTTTTCAAACAAGGTCTAAATCCTATTGGATAGCCCTGGGAAAGAAAAAAAAAAAACAAAGGCATGGCATGAACAAGCAGAACTAGCAGACAGAAAACCATGAGGTCATGTTATTGTCCAACACACATTTGTCCTCCCTTTACAGAAATATGCTTCTTGCTCAGTTTGACCTCACTTGGACTGGGCACACACACTGACAAGGTGGAACAGCAGCCACGGTTTCCCTGTCCCCTGAGCACAGGCACTGACCTTGTCATTCTTCTCTTACAGAGTGCTTTTCTGTTAAAGACTGATGCATTTAAGTTATTTCAGACCTCCTCCAGATTTCTGTCTTCAATCAGGAGTTTAAAATTTTCAGTGAAAGAAGGGAAAGGGATTAAAGTAATTCACAACTCTTCTGTTTTAAATTACAAGCACTGTGAAGTTATTTTAAAAACAGATTACTTGATATCCGTACTAATTCCATATGCATGCATGACATCTCCTCCACAAAAAAGCAAGTAAACAAACAATGATTCCTGCAGCTTTTCTGACAGATTGACTGAAATAAGAGGTAATAACAAAATGAAAGCTAACGTGTTCTCAGGTACCTACAGAACTTTACATCCCTTTTTAAAAATGAATGTTAGTTTTAAAAAACCCAAAGCAAAACCAATAAAAGTGGTTTTAATGCCTTGGCACAAAACCTGCTTGTCGTTTTGGTCACCCCTCCTTCACCTTCTCGCACATACCAAGTGAGGACTTCTTTTCCACAGGGAACGCTTCCATCCAGGTGGAAGAGAAATGCTCTTTCCTCTATTTACCAACAGGTGTCTCCGGTTAAGCCCCGGGATTTTAAAGGAAAAACTGCGTAAAAGTGCCGCGTCAACACACAGCAAGACCGGGAATCACATGTATATCTATATCTAGATAGGCAGACAGACAGATGTGCAGATATAGATGAGTATAGGCACAGATATGTAAACACAGCGGCCCAGTAAGGCCCATCGCAGAGTGTCAGGACGAGCCC